GTTCAGTAAACAATTTCAGTATTTGGACTTAATATTTATATTAAGAATTTATATGCTTCTCAGAAACAGCTTTATGAATTTAAACTGCAAAAGTCTGTACTTATTTAAATTCTCAAATAATATAAAGCTTTTTAAGTTTTAATACACTTTTGAAAATGTGATAAACTCAATTTATCAACTGTCACATTTTGAAAATAAAGTTTTACTGTTTTTTTTAGCATATTTTCTCACTGCTGTTCTTAAAAATTAGTATTTTCTTGGTTTTTATTTGTTATAAGTAGTAGTATTTTTTGTAAGTCATTTTATTAGCAGAGGCAATTGTCTAGACTGATTAGTTATTTATTTCAAGATATCTTATAAATTTCATTCAATAATAGTATAATAAAATATTTCAATTTACTCTTATATTCTATTTTATTTTTTGAAAATAATAGTAGAAAGAAAAAATACTAATATTTATGTACTGTAAATGTAAAAGATACTCATAAATATAAGGTTTATAATATTTGATAGTAAATGTTAATGCAATGTAAGTTCATTCATATCTGATTGGTATAAGGTTGTTTCAATTAACTATATCAATTTTCTAATTTCAAAGATGTGTTGTTTGCTGTTATAAGCACTATATAAATCTGTTGTTCCTCAGTTTTAACCTAAAATAACCTAAATTAATATGATGTTTAAAGAAGGTGACCATAGCATCTTTCAACATTACATTCTTCCTATCCCCAAAAATAGCCATCTAGGTGCCTAATGGACAAGCTGTTGATGCATGATTTCTATTCAGTACTTTCAAGATGAAGATGATGGCCAGTTGAAATTATTAGTTTAAATCAAAATTTTCTACATGAACACATCATTTGAAATCAAAATTATGTCTTGCTTATTTTCAGTGCTTTTACTCTAAAACTTGATTCTTCAGTCTGACAAACATTATTGAAAGAGTTTAGTTCTTAATGTGATGATTTAATTTATGGGCAGTATTTGTTTAATTATAATAGATTATCAAAAATCAAGCAATAATTTAATTTTATTTAATGTAACATTTTTGAAATTCATATTTGTGTTATTATATTTCAATGTTTATATTGTTTGTTATCACTTTGTCTTGGCATTTTACCTTCACTATTTTTGTATTATAAAATACTACTATATATATATATAGGATGTAATATATAGGAGTGTTTTATGATACACAAGCAGTGAAGATTATCTGTCAAAACATAGTGATAAATAAGTAATAGCTAAACAAATAAGAAATAGGTGTATGTGTGCATTTATATTGCTCCAAAGCAGATTTTTGTCAGTTAGATCTTAACTGGGAGAAGGCCATGCTGATCTTTCAAAAACTGTGTTCAGATGAAAGTGCTTGTAAAAATATTCTGTTCAATGTGCTTTTAGAGAATCAACATTATTATAAAAACAATCACCATGTGTTTGTGTGTATATCTATAGCTGCATATAACTAACCCATAATGGTATAACCTGCATAAAATTGTACCAAACAAAAATAAAACCTTTGCATAATTCATGCTACTGTATGCCTTGCTTCTGAGATTATGAATTCCCAACTGTGAAGCAGCCATTGCTCCACAGTTGGGAATTCATAATTTCAATTTACAATTGGCATATAACCTTCACCCCTATTCAACTTATCTTTTAAATACACACAACTCAAGAGTTATACACATGAAAATACAGTACGTTTTCTTCATATTTTAATCCTAAATATATTTTAATTTGTTTCTTTAACTAAACTTCAATAAACTTTGTTGATTTTGTTCATTTAAATATTGTTTGTTGCCATTTGCAACAATGACAATATGTATATTTTTTTTTATTTTATTTTATTTTTTTTTCATTAAGTCAGTAAATCAAAGTAATTATTTTTAAGTGCTTATAAATTGTTTGTTAAAATTACAGTTATAAGTAAATTTAGACATATTTTAAGTTTTAAAAAAATAAATTACATTTATAATAAATTGTGTAATTAATTGATTATTTTGTGAAATGATCTAATTTACTAATAGCATTTTTTTTATAAAATTTATCTTATCACTACTTCATTAATTATATTGATAAAACTGTTTGTATTTGGTTAAGTGGATGAAAGAATTAAATTAATTTAAAAATAGTTTGAAAGCTACAATTTAGAAGTAATAATATAAATTTAGAATTTTTTTGAATGAGAAGTGATGAAACTGCATGTTTAATTAAAAGATGTTTCTTATAAATTTCAATGTCTTACAAAATTAAATTGTATGATTTAAATGAGAATTATAAAAATATTTCATGCTTAGAATGACATTGAAAAAAATTATTTAATATGATACAGGGTCATGTGATAGTTGGCAATTTCAATGAACTGTAAAGGCATCCATATAAATTTAAAATTGCAGATGTAAATGGGGCAACTTTGTTTACATTGGCATTAAATGATGTCTTACAAGTTGTTAATGCGGATATAAGAATAAGTTCATGTTGTTTGAAAAAGTGAAAATATAATGAATGCAACTTACATTAATTGCATTTTTAAAAAAAGAAAATCCATTTAAGATTCTATTTGCAATTTCCAGTATTTACTCTCCACCTTATAAAATTGGTTTTATTATTTATAAACTTCAATAATAGTAATTTTAAAGAATTACAAATTATTCATATTTCTGGAAGTTTAGAAAAATGTAAACACACTTGTATATTATTATTGTTTGCTTGTAGGAGAGTTGCATTTTAAAACAGACTTATAAATGATATTATATAAGTTGGATATTAAAAAAACTTCAAAATTTGTAATTTAATAGGTTTATTGAAAGGGGATAACTGTGAATTTCCCTATGGTCCAATGGTTTCTGTCCCTATATTTAAGACTGCTATTTATTAATAAAGAATATTCTACATATTTTATTTGTTCAAAAAAGACAAAAGGAGCTTGCTCTATCCCTAGGCTCCATACTAAGCTTTTAATACTAAGCTTTTAATACAGAACTTCTATAACACAGTTTCACTCTAACACAGTTAAAGAATTGTGGCAAATCCTGCATAATATAGTATTTGAGCTTTTGTGCAGAAAAACCCTACTATTACATTAGATATAATTTTTTGACATTTCCACTCATTTTAGTGAATCACTATTGTTGAGTCCACTCTGATAACTCATCTGCACATTAAGCAGGGGATGCAGATTCAAGTCCTGCTTTGGATTGATGTTTTTTACAGAATTTTCTAATGGTTAAATTTAACACAAGACAGTGACTNCAGTGCTGCCAGCTAAAACACACACATTAACAAAAAAAATATTGGAGTAGCCCAAAATATAGCCAAAGATTGCAGCGCCACAGCACTAGCGAAAATTTAAATTTGCCAACTGGAATTCTTTTGGATAACTGACATTTCGGATAAACGATGCTCTACTGTATTGTAATTTCTGATTCTACATTACATCAAATAATTTAAAAGTTGGCAAGTCACACAGTTTTGAACTCATTGATTATGTATTTGATATGTTTTATACTATTTGTGATAAAATTTGATAAAGTAATGGTATGAAAATACAGTAGAGCATCAGTTATCCGACCCCCGATTAACTGTCACATCGGTTAAACGACCGTTCTAGTTGGCAAATTTCAAATGCCCGCTAGTGATGTGGCTCTACAATATTTGGCTATGTATTGGCTACTTTAATATTATTTTTGTTAAATTTTTGCATGTTTTAGCTGACAACACCAGCTCGACCATTGAAGGGAGGCCAGTATTTAAATGAGACTTAATTTTCTAATTATGAGTGGTTGTTTGTTTCGTGAGCAATAAAACAATTTAAAAATAATATTTAACGATACAATAGCAACGATTATTATTTTTTAAAAAATTTGTTAGGCTTAACATCGATGAAAATTCAACACAAAGTTGGTTAATAGTGATATACTAATATACTAATTACATGGGATATATTAATATACTATACTAATAATGTATTTTTTTCATTCTTTTCGGTTATCCGACCAACCTGNATAATTAATATTTATACAGTATAAAATTGATCTCTAAAATACTATTAGTGGGTTTTTGTCTTTAAAAATTATAATTTTAGTATTTTCTGGAATTTGCAAATACTGTATTAGCAAATAGCAACTCCCACATTAAGATTTAGATCAACCTCAAATCATCTTCAAGGGACTCAAAATTGTTCATATCAATTGTTTTTAGTATAAACAATTAGTCACTTAAACAGTCATGGCAGTTTTGAATTAATTCGAAGTTTTGGCTTTGGATCCAAAGATGAGAAGTTAGCTAGCTCAAAAAACTGTTTAATCTGTAGTAGACAAGCTTCTTGAAACAAATGGCATACAATATAAGAAAAGAATATGTAGCCACTCACAAGTAAGAATCTGACTGGTGATTTATGATTTGTTTCATCATCAAGTCAGAAATATAGTATGAGTTTGTTAATCTGGCATCTATAGGACCAGAGTCTCTCATTATTGAAAAAGCCAGATTACCAGATATTTTTATATATTCTCAAAGTTATGTGTGATTTTTAACATTGTAAATGTTGCTATACATTTTGTACCATCACAGACTGCTGTATACTTCCAATTTGTTTATGCACATTCTTTAATCAGTCTAAAGATGATAGTGCAAAACTTGCTATGTAAAATTGACTGAAAAACTTGCAGAAATATTAATTTAATGAATGCATTATTTAATAAATTCAACACTTACAACAAAGCATTCAAATAATTTTGATTTGCTGAAGGCTGGATTAATGAACTTGTTTAAGAACTATTTTTGTTTTGAGTACTATACTACAATAGAACTCAAAACAAAAATAGTTCTTAAACAATTGTTTTTAGTATAATTTTGCTTAGTTTTAGACCTAGTGATAATTTTTATATGCATTTTGATAGAGTAAGCATTATATTTGGAAATAAATATTTAGAAAATTAAAATATTGTATACTATATAACATTATATTAATTGTTATACATTTTTTTTACTTCTAGTTATGGAATATCTTTCAACAAAAAGAATCAAGGATGAAATTGATTGAAATAAATGTGAAAATATAACAAAGACTATTTCTTAGAACAATTAGGGATTATCTAATTAAGCAAGATGCCGCCATCTTCAGGTGAATTGTGGGGGCATCATTTGATGCCCGCGACCATTATTGTTGACTGTCTCTTGCCAACTGGTGTTATTATTCCACTGTCTTGCGTGAGAGATGCAACTTTGGAATCGATTAAAAGTAAGATTGATTTATTGTATTGTTTATTATTAACTTAAAAGTTCATATTTAAAAATTTTTGTTTCCAAACTGTCTGAAGTTCTTGCTTAATTTTCATGGCAAATATTTTCTCTTCTATTTAACTCTTACTAAATTTAAGGAAATCTTATAAATAAAATTGAAATTTGATATTGAAAACATATTTAAATATTTGATTAAAGAAATGTATAAAAGAGATTGGCGATAAAATTTATTTATTTTCAATTTAATTACCTTTATTGCCACTTATTTCTGTGGCTGTAAATACTTTCTAAACTACAGTCCTTATTAAAAACTTATAATACAAATATCCATGCTTTAAATCAGATTCAAATCTTTTCCTTGGAAAACTGAATAATAACCTAACAAACACTATTGCCAGATTACTATATTAAAAAAAAAAAGTTACAAAATCTTATGATAAGCGATTCCTCTATATATAACTCAATGGTATGAATAAATTAAAAATTAGTACATATGGTGTACAGATATTTTGAAAGTCAAGTTTCAAACATCAGTAACTCGACCTTCCAATGTTGCAACATTGCAAACTCCTAACGTATTCAAACATTTTATTAGATAATTAAAATTAAAATCTGTTATTAATCTGTGATGTATATTACAAGAATTATTCATTATCATCATTAACAATTAGTTGATTTAATTAATCTAGCATTTAGAATCAAATGATAAACCTTTAATTACAGAAAACTTAATGATAATAATATATTGCACATAAAATACATGATGATATGTACAATATGGAGCAAGTGGTGACTTTCTAGTAGTATCTTGCAACCATATCATTTAGCAATGTGATAAATTGAAATCCGATGTTAACCTTTCAGCATATGGTGTCTCATCATGCACTTTATTTGACTAACCCAAATATGTAATTTTTATACATTCTGGTTGAGTATGTGTACTTTGGCTTAAGGTGGTAGTGTCTCAAACTATACAGAACCTCAAACTCTTGAGACTCTACTGTACATATTCTCTACATTTAAAAGTTTATAACTTTATTTTAAACCTGTTTGCTGCCTGAAATCATTTCATCTCTCTCATATCATAATGTCATAATGATTATTTGTATGTCATTACGATGTAGGAAAATCAAAGTATTCTCAGAAATAAAATTTTAAAATTCTATGCATCAGTTCTGTATTTTTATGCAAATTTTTTTTCTTGATATTGATATAAAAGTATAGAAAACTAAATATTTTCATTCTATTTTTGAATTTTTCTGATATACTATTATACAAACTTCAGATGATCTGTGGCATGAGGCAAAACGCTATCCTCTCTATCATCGCCTCAATGAACCGATGTCGTATATTTTTCTATCAATTACCCAAGATGCCGAATGGGATGAGTATTACGACGAGTCCAGGCGACTATGTGATCTTCGACTCTTTCGGCCGGTACTTAAATTGGCCGAACCGAAAGGAAATAAGGAGGAAAAAATGCTCAATTCTGAAATAGGTGTGCACATAAATCATTAGAAAAATTCTTTGAATGAAAAGCATTTATTTATTTTATAATTATATTTAAAGGTCTAGCAATTGGTATGCCAGTTCATGAATTTGACGAAGTGAAAGATTCTGAAATGATCGAATTTCGGCGTAACATTCTCAACGTCTGCAAAGAGGCTGTAGAAATCAGAAATAGCAGGGGCGAAGAAGGACAAGCATCTTATGTATATCCTTCAGAAATAGACAACTCAATAAATCTTCCTTCAAACGTAGAGAAAAAGTTTGATAAAGGTTGTTTAATGTTTACTTTAATTTTATTAAAAACTTAAAAAATTATATTAAATGTAATTTTTTTTTAAGGATTAATTATTGTATGTGTTTGGGTGTTATCTCCTACTGGAGAAAAACAAAAATATACTGTGAAGGTACCAAAAGATGCATATCCAGAGAACATTACTCAAGAAACTATTCTGAAAAATTTGAAATGTTCAAAAATGACCAAAGAACAGCAGCAGCAGAGTGCGAGGGAACATCAGTGTAGTTATTTATTAAAAGTGTGTGGAATTGATCAATATTTATTAGAAAGATTTCCCATTTGTCAATATAAGGTAAGTTATTATTTATGTAATGCATTCAAATACCATAATTTTTGGAGTGTAAGTCACAGCATATTTTTTTTTTTTTTATATTGGAAAAGGGAAAAGTTTAGCTTAGCTTAAATGTATGAAATTTCATATCATTTACAAATTACCTTGCAGTTGGCAGCATCATCTGAACTAGTGTTTCAGTGGTGTTTGATGTTATTAAATAATTATTGATACAGTATTTTCTAATGTCAAAGCTAGAAAAATGAATACCGGCTAATATTGTTATTGATATTTGATATTAATGATCTCAGTAATTATTGAAATTTATGAAGTTAATTTAATGGCCCAGTGTTAATGACCTTTAAGATTGTCAATGAATTTCATTTGTTGCAAGTAATGTTTTTCAATGATAATTGTAACTATTGTTTTTAATAAACATTGAGTATTTATCAGCAATTAATAGTTGGTGTTACTTATTTGTCACTCAGTTTATGACAATGACCTACTTTGATCTTCTGTGGCTTATACCCAGCTGTAGACTATACTCTAAAAATTATAATACTATAAATAAGTTATGTTGAAAAATACATAGCTTGTTTTTCATAAAATTTCTCCATTAAAATCTTATACGTGTTTATTCATGAGAAAATGATTTAACAATTAGAAGACTAATTTTTCTTCTTATGAATACCAATTGATTTTATTCAAGGTTATATTTTGCTTAGTATAAAATACAAAAAACAAATTTACATTAGTGTAGCAAAAATAAAAAGGCTAATTCAATTTTATTTCAAAAATAGATTAGTAATCATATGTATATCTTCAGTCATGTACTTCATTACTTGATTATTTAATTGAAAATTTGCTATTGGGTTTTATCTTCATTTGCTATCAAATATGATACCTAAATTAAAATTCTAAAGCAGAAATATAATTTATTAAAACTGCAAATCCAATGTTATTAGTTAATTTTAATAGATATTGTTCTCTGTACTTACTTAAATAAGCACAGAAAATTATGTTTTATATTTCTTCAATAGTGTAATTTAAAATATACAGTAGTCTTCTCCACTTTGACAACATAACTGATTCTTAGGACAGCTTACTTAATAACAGTTTCCTATATCCTATAAAGTTAGTGTCATAAATTAAGATAATATTCCTGATAATATAGCTTTAATTGTGATGCCAACAAAAGAAATTTGGTACTTAAATTCATCATTCTGTAATCATAATGAAGGCAGGGAATTACAAAACAAGTGATTGAAAGAAATAACTACAGTAGAGTGTCGTTTATCCAAATCAATTGGGGACTGGAGTTGTTCGGATAACTGATTATGTACGAAAAATTATATTAACCTGTCCCATATTGAAATTTTTTTCTGTTGCATGTCGCTTCCCATTGAATTTTCATTGATGTTAAGCCTAACATAAACTTTTTAAAATAATAATCGTGGATATTGTATCATTAAAAATTATTTCTTTATTTTTTACAAACAAAATAAATATAAACATTAAAATTATATTATTGAAAAATATAAAAACAAAAAATATTTACTTTAGAAGATGATCTAGTATCAAAAACGTTTGATTCAGCATGCACAATGCAGGCATGACAGCATGAGTTGGATAAACGACGCTCTACTGTAGTTATTTCTTTCAATCACTTGTTTTATAATTCCCTGCCTTCATTATGATTAGAGAATGATGAATTTAAGTACCAAATTTCTTTTGTTGGCATCACAATTAAAGCTATATTATCAGGAATATTATCTTAATTTATGACACTAACTTTATAGGATATAGGAAACTGTTATTAAGCAAGCTGTCCTAAGAGACACAGTCTTCAGAAAAACACCACACAAAAGTGCCAGTGCTGCCAGCTAAAACACACACATTAACAAAAAAAATATTGGAGTAGCCCAAAATATAGCCAAAGATTGCAGCGCCACAGCACTAGCGAAAATTTAAATTTGCCAACTGGAATTCTTTTGGATAACTGACATTTCGGATAAACGATGCTCTACTGTATTGTAATTTCTGATTCTACATTACATCAAATAATTTAAAAGTTGGCAAGTCACACAGTTTTGAACTCATTGATTATGTATTTGATATGTTTTATACTATTTGTGATAAAATTTGATAAAGTAATGGTATGAAAATACAGTAGAGCATCAGTTATCCGACCCCCGATTAACTGTCACATCGGTTAAACGACCGTTCTAGTTGGCAAATTTCAAATGCCCGCTAGTGATGTGGCTCTACAATATTTGGCTATGTATTGGCTACTTTAATATTATTTTTGTTAAATTTTTGCATGTTTTAGCTGACAACACCAGCTCGACCATTGAAGGGAGGCCAGTATTTAAATGAGACTTAATTTTCTAATTATGAGTGGTTGTTTGTTTCGTGAGCAATAAAACAATTTAAAAATAATATTTAACGATACAATAGCAACGATTATTATTTTTTAAAAAATTTGTTAGGCTTAACATCGATGAAAATTCAACACAAAGTTGGTTAATAGTGATATACTAATATACTAATTACATGGGATATATTAATATACTATACTAATAATGTATTTTTTTCATTCTTTTCGGTTATCCGACCAACCTGAGTCCCCAATTGAGTCGGATAATCGATGCTCTACTGTAGACTTACATTTTGATAAGTTCTTGTATTATTGTTAATTTCATTTTACTTATTTATGAGAAACATTATGATATATTTAATATCATTGTAAATATTACAATGATATTTGACTATTAATTATTTTGACAAGAATTATTTGACTTAGAAAAATATCAAATATATAATTTTCTTTGCCAAGTATTTAACAAGAAAAATAAACTTCTACATATGTTTAAGAAGTGAATTTAATATAACAGTAAGTGCCAACCAACCTTTTAAACTGGTATAAAATAATTTTCTACTGATTTTAAAAGGCTGGCTCTCTTATTAACATTGTGTAAATCTTGTTAATCAATATACAATGGCCATGCACCTAAACAGTCATAAGATAGTATTAAGTGTATAATAAAACTAAGATCATTGCCTTCTTTTCTTACATTATTTCAAATAATTCTTATGCAATGTAATGTCTGAAAAATGTAGAAAAGAGTAGAATTTATCATTCTACTCTTTTCTACATTTTTTCAAATTATGCTGGGGGTGCAAGTCACCCTCTTGCACCTCTCTTATATATTACTATGAAAAACTTTATTTTTCTTTTTTAAGTCTAACGCACTTTTTTTTATTCAGATTGGAATTTTTTAATTATGTTGCTAATTTATATTTTTTCATATAATAATGATCTTTTAATACAAGTAATTTCCATCTTTATGAGTTAATTGGTTCCTAGAATTTACTTGTAAAGCAGGAACTAATTTTTCATACAAATAAATACATAATGCATAATTATGTTCTTGCATATGGGATTTTAAATAGGAATATGTTGAAAAACAACAATAAAAATATAAATATTATATTTATTAACATTAATTTCTTTCTTTTCAAAGAAAGACCACTCTTTTCCATAGGTCGACTAGATGCGGCAATGGTGCCTCTGTTGAAAAAATTTCCAAGATTACACATTTTTAATTTCTTTTAAATATTTTTCTTTGTTTCAAAATAGTACAAACAGTAGAACAACTTAGAGGATATTTGATTCAAAGATCTTTAACAGTGCTCACAGCTTTATAACTGCTTATAATTTCATACTTGTTTTTTTAAAGTTATTGATTAATGTTGATATCAATAATGTTATCATGTCTGAAAAAAGAGATTTTTTCAGACATGTTGAAAGAATACACAAAATACTTGAAAGCACAGAAATAATAAAAAAAAATAACTTATACACAGGCTAAAAGTGAGCAATATAGTATATGCTCTTAACAATGACTCATTAAGAAGATGGTCATTCACTAACTCTGGTGTAGAGCAAAGTTTCATTAATATCATTTCACCCAATTAAGTAATGAGTTGGATTATAAAACTGGTAACTAATTGTGGTTAATTTTATAGTTTTTCATTATGTTATGAATTTAAAAGTAGACATTTATTTCAATAAAAATAAAAAAAATCTAGCAACAAGTTGCATAACTATTGGCTATTGCGGTTTCATTTTAAAAATAACTTTTACATTATTAATCATACTATTAATGAATAGTGTTGTGCCATCTGTTATAAAAATTTTTACGATAAAATTTTGTATTTTTAATTATTATTGAATGGGAAAAAGCTTAATTTTGAGGATAGTTATGAATTTCATAAAATATTTAAATGTTAATAACTAATAACATTAAGTCCAACCCCTCTCAAGATAAGAGAAATGATTCCTCTATCTTCCCACATCTTGACCTTTATTTAACTACCAAAATTTAATAGCATCAATTCCCCTTATACACAAGATCTTGTCCAAATTTTACTTCTTAACCATTACCCCATCCTGAGATATTAAATAAAATAGATACCAATGCATGCACATGTGAAATTTTTTCCCTTTTTTTTACTACTTTGGGTTTAGATGGTCTCAAAATGTAGAGATTTGCAAAAAACTTAAAGGGTCAATTTTACACAATTCCCATACTTTCCCTTGTATACATAACGAGAGAAAGTAATAAGAACTGAAAATATGTTTCTGAAACAATGGGTTTATCAGTTGCAGACCATATTTCTAGATAAAGTTTTCCAGAATGTAAGGAAAAGAATCCAAAATTAAAATCAAGATTAGAAATATTGAACTAGAATAATTATATTAATTGTCCAGTTTAATCAATGTGTTAAATTATTCTTTTCATTTGTTCTTAATATTTTTAAATAACAATTTTTCATGTATTGTTATGTACAAATTGAAATAAAGATGTTGAAAAGTTTTCTAATGCAATTTTTTTAAGATTATATTTTTATAAAGTTCATAATTAAGACTAATATATTCTTATGGTTTTTTTTTATTTTATGAAGTACATAAGAAATTGTATTGCTAAAGGAGAGATTCCACAGTTAATGCTGATGTCTAAAGAAGGCGTGTACAAAACTCTACCTCATTCCACGTTTCAAATGCCTTCTTTTTTGCGACGAGCACCTCCCGTCCTGAACAATCATCAGACGATGTCGCTGTGGCGAGTCGATGCCATGCTGCGAGTTCGAATACTGTGGGCGACTTACGTTAATGTTCGAGATGTAGATAAAGTAATGATTTAAACATTTTACGTGCTCAAATTTGTCTTCATATTTATTATAAAATTAATAAATTTCTTTCAGATATATGTGAGAACTGGTATATTTCATGGTACTGAACCTCTCTGTCCAACGAGAGATACGCAACAAGTCTCTTTTTCAAATCCAAAATGGGATGAGTGGTTGGAGTACGACGTTTATATTCCTGACATTCCACGTAGTGCTCGTTTGTGTCTCTCCATATGTTCTGTGTCGCGTAGGAAACGAAGAGATGTAAGTAGTTTTTTTAAATAGGTATCAAATTTAAATTTTCACATAATTATAAGAAATTGCTTAATTGTTGTTATAGGAACACTGTGCTCTTGCTTGGGGAAATATTAACTTATTTGATTTTAAAAATCGATTATTGAGCGAACGCGTAAGCATGTATCTTTGGCCCATGCCCAAAGGAATGGACGAACGTCTCAATCCACTCGGAACGACTGGATCTAATCCAAATAAAGATTCACCATGCTTAGAAATAGAATTTGATAGGTTTAGTAACACGGTTGTATTCCCATCCATTGAAGAAATCGAGGAATATGCAAGTTATATTAAAAAAATGTCGAAAAATAACGAAGTAAGTTAATCAAAATTTGAAAATGTGAACTGTTATCTTTATTAAAAAAAATTTTATTTTGAATGTTATTTTTATTTGTAGCAAAAAGTGGTGATTAAATCTGAGTTAGATCAGTTGAAAGAATTAATTCTTCGGGATCCCCTCTCAGAAATTTCTGAACAAGAGAAGGAATTAATTTGGCAGATGAGAGCAGATTGTCTTTCCATTCCCGATTCACTGCCAAAATTATTAGATGCTGTGAAGTGGAGTGGAAGAGATGAAGTTGCGCAGGTAAGAATTTAATATTTTATATATTATTTTTACTGACAAAAGATTTAATATACTTGGTTTTCTTTTATAAAAGCTTTACATGTTATTGAAAGAATGGCCTCAAGTATCTCCAGAAGCATCTTTAGAGTTATTAGATTGTAAATATGCAGACTTAGAAGTAAGAAAATTTGCAGTCAAGTGGTTGGACTCTTCGCTAAGCGATGATCTTTTATCACAGTACCTCTTGCAATTAGTTCAGGTACCTTAGAAAGTCAAATTTTCTGAAAAAATTTTTTTATCAAAACTTTTAAAATATGAATTATATTTTAGGTATTAAAATATGAATCATATATAGACAATAGCCTTGCAAAATTTCTTATCAAGAGAGCTTTATTAAATAAAAAGATTGGTCATTTTTTCTTTTGGCATCTTAAGTAAGTCATTCGAACAGTATAGCAATATTTGTATAAGTTATTACAATTACATTGCAATTATTTGAAAAAATTTTATTTGTTAATAACAAAATAGGTCAGAAATGCACGATGCTGCAGTTACAACACGGTTCGGACTTCTGTTAGAAGCCTATTGCCGCGGCATCGGTCCACATTTAAAATCTGTAGTTCGTCAAGTCGAAGCACTAGAGAAACTCACAAAATTAACTGATATTTTAAAAGAGAGGAAAGATGAAACTCAAAAGGTTTTTTAAATTTATTTTTATAAAATTTTTTGAACAGTCAGGAGAATCCAAACTACTATTTTTTTCTTACAGGAACGTTTAAAATTTCTTTACGAACAAGTAAGACAAGCTGACTATTTAGAAGCCTTACAGAATTTTCCTTCTCCATTAAATAGTAGTCATGTCTTAGGAAAGTTAATGTATGTATTTTTACATATTAAATATTAATATAAATCATTACTCTTAATTGATTATTGTTGAAAAATATCTTACAGAACATTGAACAAGATTTTTCTATCAATTTATTTTTCCAAACACACTCTAAAATAATAAATTTTAGAGTGTGTTTGGAAAAATAATGATTGATTTTAATTTAATAAGGATTGATTTTATGATGTGTAAAAATATTTAAGCTTAATCTTATAGATAGATTCAACTTGCTGCTAAAGTCTTCACCCATTTAATGAGGACACGTTTAAAGTTTATTACAAATATTTTTATTAAATTAACAAACTGAGTCTTTAAATATTATCAAGTTTCTTTTTATCTCTAATTTATGAAAATGAATTCTGTAGATAAGACTTGAAACTACTTACACATTTTAATCTTGATTTCTAGAAAAATAATATGTTCAGTTGATTAAAAATTTCAACTAAATTTGATAGTTTGAGTGTACTTACTTCAAACACTTAAATAAACTATATATTTGACATTTATTCTTTTGATTTATTCAAATATTGCATTTATCAGCTAAGTAAATACTGTTTTACTTGCATTAACAGCAGTTCATCATTATTTAATTTGTAAGTAAGTAAATAAAAGATTGTTTACAAACACATTAAATTATTTGCTCATTAGAAGAAGCATAACAAAATATGATTATTATGTATCTTATCATATTATATGTATCTTATTGACAAAAAAAAAAAAAAAGAAATAAATGATAATTCTGTATTTCAAATGAAGTCATGAATACATTTTTAAATTATACAAATTATTTTCAGAGTTGAAGATTGTAAAATATTAGATTCTGCTAAGCGTCCTTTGTGGTTGGTGTGGCACAATCCCGATCCGATGGCCGAATGCCTTTTTAAATTTAATGCCATCATTTTTAAAAATGGCGACGGTAAGGGTTACACGTTGGTCTATTCTATGCGAACATTTATATTTTTAAGTTTATTTTTAAAATCTATATTTTTAGATTTGAGGCAGGATATGTTAACGTTGCAAGTGATTCAGATTATGGATAGTATTTGGCAGAATGAAGGCTTGGATTTAAGGTAAACATTTATATATATAGTGTGTGTGTGTACAAAACTCTTTCTACATAAGATAGTTTTTCTAGAATGATGCCTTATGCTTGCTTGGCGACTGGCAAGCATGTGGGAATGATCGAAGTGGTACGAAATGCAAAGACAGTGATGAACATACAGAGAAAAGGAGGTCGAATGGCAGCATTTCAAGTAGATTCCACCCAGCTACATAAATGGGTGAAAGAAAAGAATAAAGGAAACAGGTAAGTTTTATTTGGATTTACTCTGGAAGAATGTTTCGTACTGAAAACGAGTTTATTTTTCTTAGGTACGAACAAGCCATTGAAACTTTTACACTTTCGTGTGCAGGATATTGTGTGGCAACTTTCATTTTAGGAATTGGAGATAGGAATCCAGATAACATAATGGTCAACGAAGAAGGCCAAGTAAGTTTAGTGATTGTAATTTGTATTCAGTGTTTTTATTTGAAGTTTTATTTTCTTGTATTGTATAGTACATCAATTGGTTTTTCAAATATTTGATATTAAGTATAAACCTTACATTGCAATAAAAATTTCAATAAAATTAACTAGCTAGACAAAAATAAGAAATATATTGAATAGTGTTTCTTTTTACCATGCCCATTGTGAATTAGGCTTTATCCAGAACAGACCACTTGTGAAAAATTTCTGGGGTTGCTTGCCCAGATTCCACAGAATGGGAGCTATGTAGCCTTAACTTTTCTTAACCATTTGTAAAATCCCAACTCATTGTTCTAAAGCCTCTGTTGTCAGATTTTAATCACAAACATCAGTGTCCAAAACAAAGTTCAGTGAATTTTGGTTGTGGAAACTAAAAATCCAGGCTATGTGATTAATAGCAAGTACATTTTTTTTCATTAATGTGCAAGAGCTTTTTGTAACTTCAAAATCTGCTCTGTGTCTAGCTGTCTTTGTTCCTTCTAATTTTCACTTTAAGATTTAGGAAAAGCAAACAGACATTCAGGTGAAGCTTCAAATGTTGTTCCTTTGTACTGTCTGTTTTGGGTTTACCACAAAAAAACATGTTCTGCAGTGTGATGTATGCAGGTACTTGTGCAAGAAAGGACTAAAAAGTACAGTACTTAAATATATCAAAAGCTTGCATTTCATAAAGTACTTTTTGTGCCAAAAAAATGTGATTGCATTTATTCTTGTTATTTCATTACGTTGATGTAAGTAGATAAGTGTTCTCCAGTATTTTGTGTAGATATAGTGTATGCAATACACATGTGTGAGAAATGCAAATTTTTTAGCTTTTATATGCTTTTTATGTTTGTCATACTGTAACTGTTCTTTGCATTTGACATGCAGCCATGCCTAAGAAATTCTGGTTTAGGTTGTTGATTGTTTGGCTCCAAGTGTATTCTTTGGAGTGATTTGTTGTTGGATGTTTATGTTTATTTGATACAGGGCATGATTAGTGCCTCAAATGTTTTCATTTTTGTGTGTGACTATTGATCAGCAGATCAATAGTCACAGCAGCAGACCAACTGGATTGAAGTTGGTGAGAGGTTGGTATATAGGGTAATTGTATAAAAATTATCCACAAAGACTTATACTGTATGATACAGACTTAAGTAATATTTTGTTTTTGTAACTTGGTAGTTGTAGTTTTCTTCAATATTTACCTAACCTTTAAGTTTGGTGTTATGTTTTTTTAGTGCATTAATGTTATGCATTTATGTTTCTATTCTGTAGGATCTAAAGCTGTATATTTACTGTGGTGTTAATAAATTCTGCAGCTGTGTTAGCATTTTCACAAGTGGCTGCTGTTCAGAAAGTCATTTGATAGTACCCAATTTTCTGTGTGTTGGTTGTTGTGTCTTCTGTTCTTTTCTGATCAGCAATCCTTTGCTCTAACAATGAGATGTGGGTATTATTTTGTGAAAGTGTCGTGTCTGTTTTGAGTTTTGTAATGGTGTAATAGGTACACATCGTGAAGCCATTCATTTCTTGAGTCCACTTCATCAGTTGTTGTGTATTGTTGCATGTATTTGTGTTTGTGGTGCAAAATTTCCACTGGTGGCTAAGGGAGTTTCCACCTAATGCACCTTTTGACCACAAAAGTAGATCTTGTTACCAGTTCAGGCATTGCCTGGATTATTACACTCACAGTATAATTGTGTAAAATGGTATGGTTTATGTACTGTATAACCTAAGCTATGTATTTATTTTTGACTGCCTTAACATGTGGAACACACACTGCTTTAGACCTTACTAGCAATTCACCAGTTCATTCTATGGTTGATTGGAACTATTGAGCTCTTTCTCATCTCAAAAAGGTTGTGACTAATGAGAGCATTTACAAGGACCCACAAGGTAGAAAGAACAAGAAAGAATAATAGTGTTGTCTTCTTAAGATGCTCTTAACGGGCTGAATAAGAAGACAACACAGTGGTGAGAGTAATATGATGAAATTCACCTTCAGATTTTTGGCTGCATGCATAATGGAAAGATCTCTTGCTATTGTTTAATAGTTAAAGCAAGTAATGGTACTACCCCTTTCTTGGACATTTTACTAATAAATGATCTTAACTTCTTATCCTTACATATATGAGCAACTGAAAAGAATTAATTACTGTAATTCATGTTAAATAATTTGAATCAGAATTTCTGTTTTAAAATAACAGTTTTAATGTATTGCAGATATTTCATATTGACTTTGGTCACTTCCTTGGCCATTTCAAGAAAAAGTTTGGTATTAACAGGGAACGGGTACCATTCGTCTTGACGGAAGATTTTCTGTACGTGATTGCGAAAGGGGCAGAAAATCCAAAGAAGAGCAAAGAGTTTCATTCGTAAGTAAAGGCAGAAAGAAAAAAGTATATTACTAATTAAATTAATCAAAACAATTTACTTTCAGCTTTCAGCAGCTGTGCGGTAAAGCTTATCTTGCCCTGCGACGTCATGCCAATCTTCTCATCACGCTGTTCACCATGATGTTGTCCACTGGAATTCCAGAACTGCAGTCGATAGACGACATAAGCTATCTGAGGAAGACGTTACAGGTCGACAAGAGTGAAAAGGAAGCCCTGCAATATTTCCAGAACCAGTTTTATGAGGCTTATGGTGGAGCCTGGACTACAAAACTGGACTGGTTCTTCCACAGTGTGAAACACCTCTGAAAGGATCAGATGGCATAAAGTTGCAAGACTCCTCGCCCATCAGATGGATGTGTTCGGCTTCTGGTTTAGTAAGTTGTAATGATCGAAACGGAGAAGAGAAAAAGGTGCATTTCAAATGCAGGTGTATTTAAAAATTTTAGTTTGTTTCATGAAATGATCATTTATCATTAAATTTATCAACAATTGCCATAATTTGTGGCATTAGATTTTTTATTATTGTACAGTACATATACAAGTTAATCATTTTACTTCAAAACCACTTTTTGTTAGGGTTTTTTTTACTAGTTGAACAGATTGGATAAAAAAATTACCCTCTGGCACACACAACTGAAGAACAATTTCTTTAACTATACATATACACAAAATTGCAATTTGTGATCTTTGATTAAAGTCTAAATTCCAAATCAAACATTTTCTTATGAGTTAGATTTCTGTCTAATGGAGACAATGCATTGTAATTTTTGCTTTTTATATAAAAAATATCTATTGACATTAACTATGCAATGAAAATACAATGGGAGACATGCTGTGTCTGTTGACGTCCTCAAGGAGAGTATCACTGTACCTTTTCCTCATCTCTTTTCACAAAGTAAAGCAGATAAGAATGTTGATAATTGTCTTGTATTTTCCCTTCCTGGTTGAGCTCGATGTCGACTTTATAGATGTATGGCAGTATCAAATGCCTTAGTAACATAAAAATCTCAATCTTTAGTCTATATCAACTCAACAAACTATTCAAAGATATTATGTGTTTGTGCAGTTTTATTGACAGAACAATTCACACATGTTTGATGTGTCTTCTATAGAAATTATCAGTGGCACAAATGCAACAAAATCAGCTTGGTAGAATCATCTCTGCATCCATAGATGAAAGGCAATTGGTCAGTCTTTCTTAGACTTTGTGTTAGACTTCCATTAGCACTAGGTCCAGACTGTAGGGGATGCAGCATGACAGACCATTCTGTCTTGTCCATGTCCTGCAACAATATGGTGCCGATATCTTTCTTTGGACTTTACTTTTGCATCCAGACATTACAGAAGCAGAAGAAAACTGTTGGTATGCTGTTGGATGCAAAAGTAAACTGTTGGATGCAAAAGTAAAAGTAAAAAGTAAACTGATGTAAAAGTAAAAAGTTCCAGGAAAACAAGGTTCCTGTACCACGATGGTACGGGAATCTTGTCCTCTCAAATTGGCTTATCCATTTTCCAGCTGCACCTACTGCTCGGAAGTGACGAGGGCATGGATTCCAAGGCCATGCAATCCCTTTTATGTCAAGAATTTAAATGAATTTTATTTCCATTTGTTATCCATGGATACAGTGGTACCACCTGGAAACATTTGACTTACATAAGCCACGTAAAGATCACACTGTATTTTTGGATTTATGCACCAACAGGCATTACTTTTTTGATTTAGCCTAGAATAATATCAGCTGCATAGCATAGCATTTTTAACTCTTTGTTTTAGATTTTAATTCCTTCTATCTTTTGTGTCAAAGACTACTACTGTCATCTTCTGGATTTCTTGAAAATCTTGAATTGAATATTCAATTTTCAGTATGTAATTTATGGTTAGGACTAAGGAGGAGACATTGTCATATAGTAATAACGTTTCATTTCAAAGATAATAAGTAGTTACAATATTATATCAAAAGGACAATTTAAAGGAACCTTAAGTACCTTGTCTTACCTGGATAAATGCTGCAATATGCTCTGACAGGGAGGATTGCAAGCACTGCAACAAATTTGCCATTCATCCTTACTATCTGTGTAAATGCTTAAAATATTCTTATTTTTTATACATGAAGCAAGGGCAAACTAAAATCTTGATTTGAACTGTGGATAACTCGTGTTTTTTAGTCACAAGTGTTTTCACAGACATGCAAAACTGAATAAAGAGTTGCAAGATAGACCTAGCTGTATTTGTTTCTTTAAACTGGTATAATTGAAACTGAGACTAAATGAAAGACCATGTTTACTTTGCACAGACTACGAGGTAAACGTTTAATGTTATGCCGCTGGTAGTTGTGCCTCTCCAATATCGGGATAAAGGAAGACCAGTAAATGTGATTACGTCACCTCTTTACTCACAATTCAAGTGAATTATTAAATTTTCATCAAACAGATTACTCTAAGGTTTAGGTGTTCATAATGCTACATATCACAGATGGCTCATTTGTATCTGTTGTAATGGTCAATACCACCACCACCACCATAAAATTTGTTGTTACTTAGTTTGGCTGTATTTTCATATTGGGAGTTTATCTTTAGAATATTTTTAAAAATAAAGGACCATGTTTGGAGCACAAACACTTCGTTTAATAATACAAATTATATATACAAGTAACATGAATGCATCTTGAACACTTCAATAAAAAAAAAAAGACAACATTTATCAATTTAACAAAGACAAATAAAATCATAAAACTGGGTATTCCCAATAATTCATTTAATCATTTTCCTGTCAAATTAATGATTTTGTTACAATGATTTTTAACTCAAATCATTTAAGGAAAAAAACCTTAAATGTTAATATAATTTATTGACGTACAAATGCCACTCAGATCTTCAATAGCCAAAATACCATAGCACATACCACTTACGAGAGAATTAGCCAATTTATTCAACTTTCGGTATCCTGTATACAAGGGAGAATACAACCCAAAAATGTATTGAAATCCTTCCTTAGAAAATTTGAAACAGTTTCTAAGATAAGGAAAATTGCAGTTACACAGCAACCAATGCTGAATATTATCAGGCTAGAAATGTCACTGTAATAATCGTCGATGGTTATAACGTAACCTTATACAGGGTGAGGCATAATGGAGTCCCACATTTACGAAGTAAATTTTTAAAAGAAAGTACAAGAATATGGAAAAAAACTTTATTTATTCAAAGTATATGTAATAAGGTTTTTTTGGTTAGGTTTTAAAAAAGTTGTCCAAATGTTGGCCTTCATGAGCAATGCACATTTGGAGCTGTTCCTTGAAGTTTTCTTCAACACTCACCAGCATATCTGGAGGAATTTTGGCAATTTCCTCATGAATGACTTCCTTGTAGGGTTCAAGGGCAACATTAAAAACCTCTGCCTTGAGATACCCCATAAGAAAACATCACAGGGGATCAAATTGGGAGCAAGAGAGCCATTCAATGGCTTCTCATAAAGAGATTAGTTGACCGGGGAACATCTCTATCAAAATAGTGTGAAACCAAAAGTCACTTGTATCATATTCTTTCTTTTTGGATGCAAAAAATTCTCCAGCATGTTGCAGTATCAGTTGGAAGTCATAGTAACAATGATGCCATCCTCTTCAAAAGCAGGCTCCACGATGCCTACACAGGACAAAACACCAAATGGTGACTTTTGGGCTGTGAAGAGGTCATTGTGGAGTTCTTGGGGTTTCCAGCAGCCCAATAACGAAAATTCTGCTTGTTCACTGTGCTAGACAGATGAAAATACACTTCGTCGCTACTCCACACAATACTGCTAGGAGGCACAACTGTAAAGATCACATTACAACAATCTCTACGTCTTCCACAATCTACCAGACTCAATTCTTGAGAAATCACAATCTTGTAAGGGTGTAACTAAAGGTCACAATGCAAAATTCGCCTTACCATTCAAGCTGATTTCTGGAGTGCAGAGGCATGTTTCCAAGCAGAATGTGTTGGAGACCGCTCTATTGACGCCGAGTGTGGCGATGTTTTCAGGTGTCCACGGATTTGAGACTCCCAACTGGTTTTTAAGGATTTGCAGATCCTGTTTCCCTTAAATTTTGGACCCATTTCAAAATCATTTTCTGATCAGGAACACTTTCGTTTGGATTTAAATCAAATTGGCATGCGAAAATGTCCTCTGCATCACAGTCACAGACTCTGTGTTTTTGAAAAAAGCTTCCACAATTAAGCTCTGTTGTTCACCCGACCATGGCGTGTTGACTACTGAAAATCTTATCATTCACACTACTTAGTGGGACTAACCACCTCCCATTGGATGATGACATTTTTAAAACCTAACCCAAAAAAACCTTATATCTATACAGTATACATATATATATATAAATGGACGTGTGTGTCCCTATATTTCACTTTTCAGCCAAAACTACACATTGCACATGAATGATGTTTGTATGTAGTAGTAGCAGCCCCAAGTCTCCGTTCGTGCACTATGGTGGTTGCGTCTCGATAGCTATAAGGGTGTGGGAGATATGGGCTTGAAAGTGGAAGATTTTCTACTTCAAATTTGAATTTAAATTCCAATTGGTTCGATTATAGAACGATTGTAAACGTTCCAGAAAATTGATCAAATTGAAAATAGTTCATTTGACTGGACGTAAAAATTCCCTAATTAGTCTGGAAACGGGGGACCTAATTCTTGCATTTTGTGAAAACGGGTAAGATTGGCTATAATGTAATTATCTTAATCTTCACTATCGTTACTTTTTGCCCACAAATAAAAACCCAGCGAAGCGGGTCCTTGCAGCTAGATTCTAATTACTTAGAAAACCAGTCTTTTATATATAAAAAACAAAAACTATATTACATACAAATGTACGAACAAATAAAAACCCAGCGAAGCAGGTCCTTGCAGCTAGTCATGAATAAATAAATAAGTAAATCTTTGAATAAACAAAAAGTTTTTTCCATATTCTTGTACCATTTTTTAAAAATTCACCTTGTAAATGTGGGACTCCATTATGCTGCACCTTGTATATATTGGAGGAGGAGATCAGACCGGAAGTCTGGATAGTGTAATTGGCAACGCTTCTGCACGTTGTGGGTTTGAGTCCCATTCTGGGCCAATTCTTTTCTTCCAGTAGTTCTAAATTATTTAATTAAAATTATAATTATTAAATTTATCAAGAGATTGGCACTGGAGTTAGGTGCTAATTATCTTATAAATTATTATTATTATAGCCATTTCTAGTGTGACCGAAGGGTCGGCACCTCTTTGGTGCCCTGTCAGGATGACACCACCGCGTCTCGGCGGACACGGAAGCCACGTTATTTAGGTCACGCGGGCGGTCGCGTAACAGAGCGATCAGAGTCGCGATAGAAGGAGAGACAGTGCACCAGAAGTGACTTACTCAGAGACCTTTAAACGTAACAACTGTTTAATGGTTAACGATAAGCTATATATTTGGGCTGCTGTTAGATACATTTCTACGATAGGGATTAGATATTAGGATATTCCATTTAGGGTTTTCCGATAAGAGAGAGAGAGAGTTTACATAAGTTGTGCATATCGATAAATACCTTTTGTTTTTGCTGTCTTGATTGAGATTCTCGAGCGTTCTGGGTGAAGGAAAGAAAGTTTGGGATGTCAGTTCTTGTATCCGGTAGAGGAAGGATCCGTAAGAAGAATAGAACGTAAAGTATCCGCAAAGGTGTTCAACGATGTTAATGGGTTTCAATGATATTGTAGTAGGATATAACACGTAGAATAAAATGATATATTCACAGATATCCGAATATGGAGACACTTAGGACAAAATACGAGTGACGACTGCTCACTTTGTTGTTCTTGTCTAATGTTGAACTGTTAAAATTGCGATACTAGGTCGAAAGGTGATGAGAAAGCGTCGTTATTAGGCCTGAGAACTTAACAGATGTTTAACTCCCAGGTGTAACAGTTGACAGTTATTGAACGAAAGTATAGCTACAATGTGAAATGATATAAACACATCCTCCTCACACTAGCCTGATAATATTTGACACTGGTTGGTGTGTAGCTTTTTAATACATTGGGTTTAGTGATGATGTTTGAAAATTATAGTATTTTGATGGTGAATAAACTCTGTATGCTACCATTCTGTCTAACAAATCAATTACTTCTACCAAATCCATTATTTGAAAATGGCAACTTGTAATTTTTAATAAAATACAAAAGCCAAAGAAAAATGGCCACTTTGCCCCATCACAGACCAAATACAAATATGTCTTCATTCCTAAACCTGCATTGTGGCCAATCAGTGTTAAAATGTGAGTATTACTTTGCATTCTCAAGACTGCTCGGGCTTTATGCAAATGATTTCAATTTGACCTGGAAACACCTTGCATACTAAAACACCTTGAAAATTTCAAGGTGTTTTGATATACATTTAAACAGTTCCTACTGTTAATTGAACACCTCAATTTATTTGTCATGGCCATTTTTTATCAAAGAAGTTTCTTAAATTTTATGTATTGTCTATTAAACTTACAAAAGTGTCTTCTATAACTTTGTCTTTTTGAATTTGTGAAGAAATTTAACCCATGACAGCTCTGGCTGTACAAATATATCTAATTAAAATAATTGATAAATATTTAACCGAGGGATGCCACGGCCACAGCATAAGGGAAACTTTTGGCCCTTAGGTAACTGCCTAGTGTGTCTGCAACCGGGATCAGCCATGTCCAGATAAATGAGTGCATAATAAAATGTTTATATGATGCAGGAAAGTTGTTCACTTCCTTTCTATTCTAGGTAGGTGTTCAATTATGCAGAGGTTACTTATGTTTAATGGGCAAGTCAAGGGGTGTGGGTCATATGCAAGTATAAAATGCAATTAAGAGAACTGCCAATCAAAACAAATTGTGTTTATACATTATTACGTTCATGTGATCAACCATTACGCTTGCCTTTCTTCAAGTGAACTGTTTTACCTACACCTTAACTCTCGGTCTATGCATCATACATTATATGCCAGAACATTGGGTTGAGTGTATTTTTAAAGCAAAGGCATTTTGTTTAAAAGAAATAAAGTACAGGGCACTTCAAAAAAGATGGGCAAAACTTGGGCGTGTTATTCTATCTTTTTTGAATGCTCTTTATACGAAGTGTGTGGAAATGGCATTTATAAACTGAAAAACTGCACAGTAGCCATTTTTTTAAATTTAAAAGTACAATATAAACTATATAACAAATATTAACAATATATATTTATTGGAATGTTTATATGATTGTTGTTATATAAATATCGTATTTTCTAGTATTATAAAAATTGTTTTACAGATATTAAGCTTTTAAATTTCATGCCAAAAAATTTTACCTTCATACCCAACGAAGAGAATGGAAAATGTTAGAAATGCATTTGGGAGTAATAAAAAGAAAAAACTGAAACAACTGAGTAGTTTCCCTTTTGTACTATGAGTGTAATAAGTCCAGATTAGGAAAAGGCCCAAATAGAGTTTTTATTAAATTTAAAAACATTTTTAAAAATATTCTAAAAGGAATATGTATTATAAATAAAAAATGAAACTTATTTCTTACTGACACAATATGAAATTATAAAATATTGTTTTCACTACATTCTCTGATGAATTCAGCTATAGTATTCAAGAAAAAAGCTTTATTACACTATAAACAATGTGTGGTTTATAATGGTCTGAATTTCTTTTCATAACAAGAAACACATCTATGTGCAACTTTGTATTTGTTTATTGATGAGATTGTAAGGTAAAAATTGTTTGCATAGAAAAATTAAGCTATACATAATATACATACCTCAATTTCTGCCATTTCATATCATCTGTGCACGTTTCATAAACATTGCTTTAAAAAAATCCAGCAAAGAGTTGTGTAACTTTCCCAGCTGTTAATAATTTTTAAATTAAATCTCGTATTATTAATCATAATAAATTGCATGTGGTTCCATCTGTTGAAAAGCTTTTTATAACAAAATCTCATATTATTAGTTGTTATAAAATGGCAAGAAGCTTAATTTTGAGGATAGTGATGAGTTTTATTAGAAATTACAAATGCTAATAAGCAATGTAGATTTTACTGTCTTCACTAAGTCCAACCCCTACTCTCTTGTCTCCTTAGCTTTTAACCACCAAATTTAATAAGCATTAATATCCCTTATACACAAGCTACCATGCCAAATTTAGTTTCTTAATCATTACCTCATCCTGAGATATTAAATGAAATAGATGCCAACATACACATGGAATTTTTCTATTGCCACTGGATTGTAGGGTTGTCACTTGGCAAGATGGATCTGTGGATTTGAGCTGCCAATGTTATTTTCTGATCTTGTCGTTGGCACTATGGAGAAAGAACAGATTCATCAGATCAAGCAGTCCTTTTCTACTCATCAAGTATCCAATTGTGATGCTTCTGGGCCCAGATAAAACATACTTTTCTATTTTTCTGTGATAGCAAAGACACCCTTATTGGTCTCCTGCTGTTAAAACTAATCTGGGACAAGGTCTGGCACATTGTATATTTGATTATGCTTTTTGCTGCAGACAATTCATGCCAATTGACCATTATGTCTTTTATTCACAGTTGCATTTATTGCCCAAATTTTTTTGGCTTGACTGCCATTCTCCGAATGTCTGTTGCATGAGAAAGCTGAGGACATTAGCCGTTTCCAAATACTGGAATCAGCTCTTGCCCTCATGATTGTGCCTCAATCAAAGACATTTAAATACTCATGTTTGGGCTAATCGTACTGAAATAGTTCTCTTGATACCAAACATACCTTTTATATGATACTCATTGCTGTTATGTCATACATTACTAATGGACCCATCCAACTTAGAGTGAGGGGTATATGTAATAATTTGGCCACTCAATGTAGAGTATATTGCTTTATTATTGTTATCTACATTTTGACTTGCAATTTGGTACCAAAATGGAATCTTATCACAAGCTGATGGTTCATTCATAATATACAAAATAAGACTAACAAGGGAATCCTTCCAATCCATACATAAAATAAGTGATGTTTCAAGAATTATTGGATGCATTTGTTTGAGTGGAACAAAAATGAGGCTTGTTTTTATGATCTCCCCAAGTGCCAAAAATTGGTCTCAGAATTTGCAACAGAAACTTAAACATACAATTAAATCATCCCGATAACCAGTTTCCTCATTGGCAGAGTGGTAATAAGAAAATGTTCAAATATAATTCATAGATTCTATAAGAAAAATCTAACATATATTTTTTTTGTATGTTTTGGTATATTTAACAGATTGTGGCAATTTTTGGTAAAAGTTTTGAGATAAATGTTAGTTAATAGTAGGCTTACTGATTTAACCAGTAGCAGATTTTATCATTAAAAAAAATCATTAAAATATACATCAAAAGCTTAGAAAACAGAAAAATTTTTTCAAAATATAGAAAAAATTAAACTATGTAAACGAAAGAGAAATCATGAGCATTACAGTCCTGACAGCTGGGATGTTAAGTGTGTGTAAACGTATGCTGCTTTGTCATTGTGTTCAAGTCCATTTTTGGACTTGGAAGCACCTGACACAAAAATGATCATTTTAATTTTTCTCAGAAACAAATACAGGTTGAAAGATTTCCCTTGGAAGTAATAATCACATTATTACTGTTTATGCTTTGATAACACTGTAAATGGAAATTATAGTTTAGTTAATTATTATAACAAGCTTATAAACTATGGATACGGTTAAAACAACAATAACCTTTTAATATATTTAAATCTAATCTAAGCCAACTATTTTAAATATTATTAATTATAAAAATTATTATAACTTAACTATTACTCAAATATTTTATTGATACTTTAATTACAGACAATTGGGCAAAATTTCTACAGAGCAAAATTTATTAACACACTGTACAGAAAATACAATTAGCTGCAAATCAATAAATCGACAATTTAATTTTCAACAATACTGTATAAAGATTGAGAGGCGTGTAACAAGAGATAGAGTTTATTTCCATTTGTAATTCGAGCGTATTTGAATTTTTATACGGAGGAACTTTTAACTATTTATCACTAAGAACAGACAATCTAGATAAAAGATGAGATCGGAAAGAATCTCCGTAGCTTTCGACGGACCCACTTAATTACAATTTATTGGCATGTAGACGGTATCTAAGGCACCGCAATACGTAGGTTACAATAAATTAAAACCCCCAAACACATGGGTGAAAGCCACACGCTCAATATGGAAATTTAATTATTAGCTCGCACAAGGTGTACAAAACTATCTTTGGATTTTCTTTTTTATTACCAATTAATCTAGTTTAGGAGAGTTTGGAAACTAGAATATAGAAAATATTTATAAAGATGGCAGGTTAAAATATCACACAAGGAAGAAAAATCTCTATTTACAAAATGGCATTTTTCTTTTCCTGTATATTTGAAGATGCTTTGTTTTCTATTTTTAAATGATTGTCAAAAATTGTCAATAAATCGTGCTAAAAATTGGCAGTCAAAAACTGTCACTTGGCAAAGTGTTTAGATTAATGTTTAGTATATTAAACTTCGAAAAAATTTCTTTTTTTGTGTACAAAACCTGTGCACACCATCTTCACTGCCAATTGAAATTTGCCACTTTGTTTTTGATTAAAAAATAATTTAATTACAAAAAACTTTTTAAAATTATGGGTTAGAAAGCCAAAATGTTTGAAGATTTCTAACAAAATACAGTACAGATGATGAATATTACAACTTGAGCATTATTATTATTTTTTATAATATATAATATATATATAATTTATTTATTTTATATATATATATATAGAAGTTTTGATTAAAGTGACTAATTTCGTCACTAATTTAGAATTTTTATACTTAAGTATATTTTTAAATCCATCCTATCCTTTCTAACTCTCTCTCTCTCTAATGTTTAAATGTAGCAAATTATTAATTTTAATGAGAAATTTAAACTTCTGCATGTAATCCTGATTTTATCTTAGTTAAAATTTACAGGAGCACCAACAATTCCTTAGGGAAACAGATATTTTCAGGTACAATAATATAAAAACTGAATAAACACAATATAAATCAGCTATAAAACATATAAAAAAAAATGTAGACTTGATATAAAGTTTCAACAAAAATAAAATAATTTATTAAAAATTCAATATAATATAATTTAAATGCATAGGATTTGGAAATAAGAAATACATTTTGTGATCAATGAAGGTTTTGTACCTTTAAAAAATAGAAGAAAAAAAAAGAAAAGAATCAAATTTACATTTTATGACAATTCACTATTAACTGGCCCCTAGATGATTCTACAAAAAAAAAAAAAATTGTATAATGTATGCACAATATTTGCTCCTACCTTCCTATAAAAATTACAGAACATCTAAACATCTTTTAAGAGAATTAAAAACAAAAAACCACTGCACTGTTTTTAATTTTGAAAATTATTTTGTGCACCAACTGAGTATTAAATTTTAAACATTTCTGACACACATTAAAGAGATTACTCCCACATCTCAACTTCTAACGCCCTATTGATTGCTATACCATAATTTACGGGCCCTGAGAATAACAAACCCTGAAACTCTATTCTCAACAAAATTTGATTTAATTATCAGATCTATAGAGAGGACGGTAAGATTTTTCACAATACCAGAGGTTATGTGGCAGATGATGACTTGTATTCTGAGACTACATTGCAAGCTAATTACAGAAATGTAAAAAATTCTGGACAATATACAAACATTTACTATAAAAGAGCAACTTCTTATATTTGCAGCTGTTCACAAAATTATAACTTTAATATATGTATATATAATATATATTTACTTTCTAAACTGTCACATTACTTAAAACAATAACAAATTTCTTTTAACTAAATACAGTGAAAATAAATTTGAATTGCCTATAACTAATTAACATTTACAATGTTATAGACTACTTCACAATTTCATTTCCCATAAAATTATATGAGCATCACTCATTAATCTGGGCTCTCTTTCTAACGATTTCCTCCAATTTGTGTAGCCACAACCTCCGGTCAGCATGAGGACAGTTTTCTGTGATGTGTCATGTGCTGATTTGTGAGATAACTTACGAACAGTTCTATTCAGAGTCTTTGTCTTTTGAATATCAGTCTGTGTTTGTGATTTCTCTGGAATTAATGTGACCGTTGATGGATGGCTTGGGGACGAACTATCTTCGGAAAGCCTGCGAGAATCTGGAGACGAAGCACCAATTTCTGCTGTCGTAGCGGTAGATGTTGCCGTAGATGTAGAATCATATGCCGCCGAAGAATCGGAATCTTCAGAAACAGCCATTGCAGAAAGATCCCAAGACCTTGGTCTTCCTGTTTTTTGTTGAAGCCTAAAATTAGAGATAATCAATTTTTTCACTCTTGTGGTGTAACTGAATTCTGTGCTAATTATTTTACTGACTATATTAAAAATTTGAAACAGGATATCTGGTAAATATCATAATAATGTTGAAATATAGTTCATATCTACACATCTGTGATGATCAAAACATGATTATTTTCTGTAGAGATAGAAATGTAAAATAAAACAATATATTTCCATTTTACAGCAACTAAAACAGAAGAAAAACATAAATTAGTATTAAAATTCCACAATTAAGATTTTTTTGACATCACTTATCACTTTCTAATAATTCCACTTTCTAAAGTAAATATTTTATCAACCAAATATCATATCATTTCATATAAATATAAATAATAATTTGATCTCAAACTGTTTTATTGAATCTAGAAATTTCAATTTCTTCAAATATGGACTGAAATATTCAAAATTGTTATGCAATGCTAACGAATGGTTTTCCATAACACATGTAAGCAGAATTTATTTATAAAAATGTCTCAGTAGCACAATTCTACTATGTAACAATCAATAAATTTATTTGTAAGATGGCAATCAAAATAACTGTTAAAACAGTTACAATATAAAAAATACTTTTAGATGTAAGCCAGTAACAGGCTGTTATAGGTTTGCTTAATTATTTATTACTTATACATTCCCATGATCTTACTAAATAATTATTATTTGTTCTGAAAACAAACCCACTTTGATCGTCATTTAATGCATTGTTTAGTTCTGTTCTGAAAATTTTGTCTTTCAATGTACCTGGAAATGAAATTCTTTTTATCCCTCAAATTATGAGAAGAATTTGTTTAGCAAAAACAACTTTCCTTTCAGCTGACTTTATCTTGAATAAATTAAAAAGATTGTGGCCAATCTCGTGTTTACAGAGTAAATGTCTAATGAACCAAATTTCTTACAACACTACTAATAATGATTGCACACCAATAAATATTATATACAGTAAGTGTTATAAGTAACATTAGAAATTATACTAACAACAATTTGATGGTATATTTATGTCCAAAACAGTTAGATATACAGGATGTTTCAATGAGCTGTATTATTTTTCTCTTTTCAATCTTTCTTTTCTTATAGCACATTGTCGAATATACAGTAGAGCATTGATTATCCAACCCCCGATTAACCATCACATCGGTTAACTGACCGTTCTAGTCAGCAAATTTCAAATGTCCACTAGTGATGTGGCACTACAATATTTGGCTATGTCTTAGCTACTTTAATATTATTTTTAAAAATTTTTTGCGTGTTTTAGCTGGCAACACTGGCTCGACCATTGAAGGGAGGCCAGTATTTAAACGAGACTTAATTTTCTAATTACGAGTGGTTAGCAATAAAATAATTTTAAAATAATTTTTAACGATACAATAGCGACAATTATTAAAAAAAAAATTGTTAGGCTAAACATCGATGAAAATTCAATGTGAAGTTCGTTAATAGTAATATACTAATATACTAATTACATGGGATATCCTAATATACTATACTAATAATGTATTTTTTTTCATTCTTTTCGGTTATCCGACCAACCTGAGTCCCCAATTGAGTCGGATAATCAATGCTCTACTATATATTAATCAAATAATAATTTGTTTATATATTATACATGAATGATTTTACACTTATCTCAAATTATTTTCAATTAAAAAAAAAAAAAAAAATACAAAATCAACAATTTTTCTTATCACCACACAACAATATCCTACCTTCTATCTAGCGTTGTCAAATGGAAATTCATAAGCTCTGGATCACTATGATTTAATCGCTCGTACACTTTCTCCTGACTATCTTTTTCATAATCTTGTATATTCATTAAATCTGCATACAGATCATAGACATCATTACCATCATCAATGACATTGTGTGAATGATGAGAATGAGGACAAAATGTCATGCTTCGAGGTAATGTTTTTGCTCCAGATAAATGCACATCACTAAAACTGTTACGATGTGGAAATCCTAAGGTTAGAAAAAAGTTATTATTTAACATCTTTAATGAAATTTTTATATTTGTTTCTAATAATAAAGTTAAATTTACCATGTGATTTTTTTCCAAATGCTGGTGATGGGAGCATTGAATCAGATTTTTGTTTCTGTACACGTGTTTTAGGATTTTCTGCTGTTTCATGAACTTGGACTGTTTTACTAGAAATAGGGAGAGGAGAAGGCAAAACTACAGGTAGTGATGGTCTCACTTGCAAGCTCAATAATAAAGTCACTGGTCCTTGATGAGCATGAAAAGCAACATTGGTTCTCCCACTAATAATGGGAACTCCTTCCAGACGAGGTAATGGTACTGTCAAAACTACGCCAACATTAGTACCTACCCAAAGTAATCCACGACTTGCAAACAAAGATGTAACATGAATTGCACCAGATTTATCTGGTAGTTTTCCTAGGAGAAAATCAATTTTACATTTCAGTATATCGTAGCGGTAGATGTTGCCGTAGATGTAGAATCATATGCCGCCGAAGAATCGGAATCTTCAGAAACAGCCATTGCAGAAAGATCCCAAGACCTTGGTCTTCCTGTTTTTTGTTGAAGCCTAAAATTAGAGATAATCAATTTTTTCACTCTTGTGGTGTAACTGAATTCTGTGCTAATTATTTTACTGACTATATTAAAAATTTGAAACAGGATATCTGGTAAATATCATAATAATGTTGAAATATAGTTCATATCTACACATCTGTGATGATCAAAACATGATTATTTTCTGTAGAGATAGAAATGTAAAATAAAACAATATATTTCCATTTTACAGCAACTAAAACAGAAGAAAAACATAAATTAGTATTAAAATTCCACAATTAAGATTTTTTTGACATCACTTATCACTTTCTAATAATTCCACTTTCTAAAGTAAATATTTTATCAACCAAATATCATATCATTTCATATAAATATAAATAATAATTTGATCTCAAACTGTTTTATTGAATCTAGAAATTTCAATTTCTTCAAATATGGACTGAAATATTCAAAATTGTTATGCAATGCTAACGAATGGTTTTCCATAACACATGTAAGCAGAATTTATTTATAAAAATGTCTCAGTAGCACAATTCTACTATGTAACAATCAATAAATTTATTTGTAAGATGGCAATCAAAATAACTGTTAAAACAGTTACAATATAAAAAATACTTTTAGATGTAAGCCAGTAACAGGCTGTTNATAATTTTTAATGATACAATAGCCACGATTATTATTTTAAAAAGTTTACGTTAGGCTTAACATCGACGAAAATTCAACGTGAAGCGACATGCAACGGAGAAAAATTTCAACACAGGTTAGGTTAATACTGTAAGGTCTCGTTTTATGCGGTGGATACATTCTACAGAAAAGCACATATAAAAAATTCGCATAAAAAAAGACTTTACTTGCCTTGAAAAAGTAGGGATACGTTCCGTAATTTTCTAAAATTGCATAAAACCAAAACAACAAGTTAAAATTAACTTAAAACCGCATAAAAACGTTTCAATCCAGAAATCAAAATGTGCTGCTTATTACTGCAACTTGAAATCAGCAAAATTTAAACTCGCTACTTATAATAAAAATGAACAAAATACCGCTAAAATAAAATTTAATTTCAAAACAATTACAGTTTATACCTTTCAATGAGAAACTCAGAATGATGTAATAGCGACTTGTCGATGGTATCATGTACAAGGGGAATCCCCGAAGTGCAAAAGCTCACTCTAAAAAGAAATCACTGACATCTGGATGTGAAGAGATAATTAAATCCCTTTTAGTTCCTCGACCAAGTTAACTCGGGCAGGTTACATAGCGTTACATAAAACACAGTCCTTAATTTTTTTTTGAATTTTTGGAATGTTTTTTAAGTCTCCAAAATTTTTAAAAATATACAGCCAGCTAGTGTTCACCCTACTTTAAACCCTTGTCCTCCCACGACGTCTATGAGAATGCCCGGGAAATCCAACTCCAGCTGTGTTCAAGGTCATCCAGATGTGTAAACAATGACTCATCAGTGTTAAAATTTCACAGAAGGGAGAGACAAAGGAAGTTAAACTTTGAAGCTTTTTCTTCAAAATTAACGCATTTCTTTTGTTTTTTTCAGTTTTAAGTATTTTTTTATGTTTACATTTATATCAAAAATTGCTAGGAACTAAAGCGATTAGGAACTAGCTGTCCTTTACATCCATAAACGTTATATGTCAGTGAAGCAAATGGAGTGAGCTTTGAGCGTTCCACAATTTTTGGAGACTGTCTATACGCGGGCTTCCTAAACAAGCCTATATGTATGTTTGTCAAAGAAATTTTGGGATGAAATACAAACCGCACAACTTCAAAATCGCATAAAAATAATCCGCATAAAAAGAGACCTTACAGTATATTTTTTCGTACATAATCGGTTATCCGAAAAATAAGTTATCCAAACAACCTCAGTCCCCAATTGATTTGGATAAACAACACTATACTGTAATTTTAAAGAATAAATTTACATAGCAAAACTTTGGTAGTAACAAGACATGCATTATGCATCAGCTTGGCAAATCACAATAGACTACACATTCTATTCTCCAGTTAAATGAACAAGTACTGTACTTTGATAGGCAATTGAAATTTATGTCCATTTTTCATTGTACAGATTAATTTTTATTACTGTGAATAAGTTTCTCTATATTGCAAATAATGACCGTAAGATAAAACAAGCATAGAAGAATTCTGGAAATGGTTAACACAGGAAAACAATATAGATAGAAAATTATTCAGTTATATAAAAAAACATTATTTTAAAAACAGTAATGTTTATTATTATTTTGCATTTTATTGTTTGGAAATTTTTATTAATAGTCTCATTATTCATTTATATTTTTTTGAACAACTGGATTATTTATACAATAGCACAATTGCTTATAAAGAGCATATATACATTGAAAAGTTGTAATTTAAATTTCTGCTCACATTTGTTAAGTCAGCAAGTATTTGGATTAAAAAGGATGGTTTTGAATTTGATATGTTCCATCAACTTTTTATTAAAATTAATAGAAACATTGCTATTATTACATGGAATTTTGTTCCACAACCAATTTCATGAAACGGATTATACTTGAAGAGTTGGCACACACAACCAGTTACAGGTACCTTTGGCTAATTTAAATAAAAGTGAAATTTCTTAGAGGCANTAAACTTTGAAGCTTTTTCTTCAAAATTAACGCATTTCTTTCGTTTTTTTTTCAGTTTTAAATATTTTTTATGTTTAATTACATTTATATCAAAAATTGCTAGGAACTAAAGCGATTAAGGTAGATCTAGCTGTCCTTTACATCCATAAACGTTATATGTCAGTGGAACAAATGGAGTGAGCTTTGAGCGTTCCACGATTTTTGGAGACTCTATACGCAGGCTTCCTAAACAAGCCTATATGTGTTTGTTCAAGAAATTTTGGGATGAAATACAAACCGCACAACTTCAAAATCGCATAAAAATAATCCGCATAAAAAGAGACCTTACAGTATATTTTTTCGTACATAATCGGTTATCAGAAAAATAAGTTATCCAAACAACCTCAGTCCCCAATTGATTTGGATAAACAACACTCTACTGTAGAACCAAATTACATTTATTAAAAAATATATATATTTTAATAAAATGTAACAAAGTATAAATAAATGTAATAACATATTTAAATTATATATATATAAAATTTAAGTACTTTTAAAAATATTAATTCTAATAAAGAATTAAATTACTTCAATACATTAAATAAATAAATACTATATTTATAAAAATAATTTCATAACAATGCTTAATAATTCCTGATTTACTAAAAACAAAATGAAAACTTGGAACAAATTAGACAGTTTTAAAAGACTTATAATTACATAAATTTGTAAAGTTAATTCAATGTTTTTATATAAAATAAAATTAATAATAAATTAAATCAATTTTACTAGATTTTACATATTATTTGATATAACTAATAACTACCTGACAATAACCGCTCAATATTTGAAGCAACATTAATATCTTGTAAATGATGAAAGGTTTCAGTATGATAAAGTCTAACAGTGGCTGAATTTTTCATTGTTATCCATAATCCAGTACCTGAATGTGCTAACATATGCACATGGCCTTCATTTTCTGATTGAATTGTGTAATGTTTCTGCAAAAACAATACTGATTTAATCATCATAATTTGGAAAACTTTAAGGAAGATTCATTATAAAATAGTTTAATATTGAAAATTTATCTACCTGTATTTCAGCAGTAAGAGCATCAACTATCCAAACTTTATTTCCACAGGCACAATACATGTTTAGACCAAGAGGAAGAATACAAGTGACTGATTGTTCAACATCTAGTGTTACTATTATAGGATTCAATAATTGCCAACAACCATCTAATGTAAAAAAGAGGGGGAAAAAAATCACACAATAAAAATATCCATGTACTGAACAAATGTTTTGGGATAATAATTAACAAAAATTTATTTTATAAAAATTTTTTAGTATATTTTGTTTATTTAAGGTAAACATAGATATATTTTTTAATATAGTGCTCTCTCTCTCTCTAGGCCCTTTTTGCTGGGCAGGTCATTCCAGTGATTTTTCTGGCTGCCTGATGGATAAAATTGAAGAGAAGTACACAAATACAAAAGTTGTAAAAAATATCACATTTTAATCCCAATTTTTAACCTATACAGTAGAGCGTCGTTTATCCGAATCAATTGGGGACTGGGGTGGTTCGGATAACTTATTTTTCGGATAATGAATCATGTATGAAAAAATATATTAATTTATCCCATGTTGAAATTTCTCTCTGTTGCGTGTCGCTTTGCGTTGAATTTTCGTCAATGTTAAGCCTAAGTGTATATATAATAAAAATAAATATAATGTAAAAACTTAAGAAACAATACAATGCAAAGCCATTCAACTAAATGCCTGTACCTTTGGATCTAATGTAGCATGTTCTCACTTTTTTTGATAAGCAGCTGTTTGCTATACACTTACAGTGGTAAGTTCTGTTGTTTGAATGGGAAATGGACATAAAGAACATAGTTTTACAAAGGACTTCTTAATGTAATGAGTATTGCATACAATAATATATATAATTTATAGATGTGTTGCTCCCAATATACAAAAAATACTCACTTGCGACTATCAGTCCCTAACCAAACAGTATCCGAAAAATCACAGGCAACATTAAGCTGATCATTTCCACTCTCTGGTGAGCAACCTTGAACAGCTTCCATTGTAAGAATTCGAGTTTCATTCAGATCATATGCAGCAACTTGTTTAAGTAGTTTTTGATGAACAGCCATAACCACAAGATGACTATTTACACCATCACTACTACACAACCATAAGTATTGTTGACCTGTTAATGAACCTGTGCATACTGTGCTATAGCATCCACATTTCACCTAAAATTTTTTATTAAAATTAATGAATTAATAAAAAGGTACTTATTATGACTGAAAAGTATAAAAAAAAATAATCAAAGTTTTATTTTATTAAATATTATCATCAATTTAAAAAAAAATATTTAAAATCTTACTTCAGTTGCACAGTTAGCAGTACAAACGGATGAAGATTTGACAAATAATGGCATTTTACTACTTGGTCTTTTTTCTTGATCTGGAACGTGCCAAGCTGGAGTATTATTTGGATCTAAAAACAAAGCATAATATAAATATGTAAGTAATTATAATATTTATTTCTAAGAAATAATTTAATATTTTACATTTTACTCGTTTAAAAAATTTATTAAAATGATTTTTAAAATTTTAATTTACCAAGAGCAAGTTTAGCTAAACGTAAATCAGTAATCCAATCTCTTTTAATAGCTGGAGTGGCCATTTGAAAATAAAGTGTCTCTTTAGGTGACCTATTTAAGAATCAAAGTTTTAGAAAATAAAATTATTAATATCAAATAAGCTGATTTATTTAAAAAAATTTTTAAATATGTGAAATAACTGTTGTTAAATATTTTATTGAAAGTTTATATCTTAAAATTTTTTTATTCAATTTGTAAAATCAATAGATATTTAGAATATAGTCAAACCTATCTATAATGGAACCCCAAGGAACTGAACAACACTTCCACAGTAGACAGGTTTTGACTATATACAGGTTACCTACTATAGATCCCTCGATTAATGTGATTAATAAATTGCTCAATGTAAACCATGTATATCAAAATTGTGTTAATCAAAAAATACAGTGGTACCTTGGTACTCAACCAAACAATCACCACCCACTACAACAAATTTTTTGTTAACAACAAATATTTTTATTTTGACTTTAATTTTTTCATTCATCCATAAAAATGTTCTCTAAAATAAAAATGAGAAACCCTTCTCTACCTGCACTTAAATCAAATACCAATAGAAACCCTTTAAGATGGCCTCTTTTTATTTAAATTTCTAACATTTTCGGTCCACTTAATTGACCTTACTCATAAAAAATTGAATATTATGATTTATAATGAAACATATTCTAGAATGCTTTTAAATAAAAAGACTGCATCTTAAAGGGTTTCTGTTAGTAAATGAGTAACTAATTTTAAAATAAAATAAAACCTTACAGCTGCCTGCCTTCATCCAACAAAATTATACTCAATTCAGTTTGTTTTATTCATAAGTGGAAAAACACANGTTAACTGACCTAAAAGTATTTTAACACATCTACAGTAGGTAAATAGGTTTAAGGAAATGTATTCACACAGTCAAGTGAAAATTTTTTGTTTTATTAAAAGTTAATAACAATACCTAAATAAGCAACATAAAATAAAAGTCAAATCAGAGTAATTTACTTAATTTGTAAAAACAAGAAAGTAGCCAAAATAACAAAAATTTAACAGAACCATGGGTTTCAAAGCTGTTGTCAAGGCAGAATATAGTTATTTATATGAGGGGAATTAGATTGTCCAGCATTTTTTGACCATGCAGCAAAAAAAATTCTGGAGAGAACAATGTTAATATATCACATGTAGGCAATACCCATAAGAAGTAACAACAAAAAATTCTCTTATTATTACAAATAAAAAAGCATTTTAAAAAATTAGTTATTTTTAAACAAATATTTCAGGATTCCATTCTTCCATTTTCATTGAATGCCATATTTATATTAATGCTATTTTGTCAACTGAGAATTGAGCATATTAAAAAAATATCAAAAATTTCAAATTAAAATCATCATAATATAACTCTAGATATAAAATACCGTATTACAGCATAATGTATAATAAATTTTTTTACCAGAATCTTTCCTAAATATCACAACAGAACCATTTGCTAAAGCAACAAAAACTTGTTCACAATGGTACTTTATTTGTAAAACAGCTGCAGTAACTGTTGTAGATCCAACTTCTTCCCACCTTTCTGGGCATGAACCTGTGATTTCTCTGGAATTAATGTGACCGTTGATGGATGGCTTGGGGACGAACTATCTTCGGAAAGCCTGCGAGAATCTGGAGACGAAGCACCAATTTCTGCTGTCGTAGCGGTAGATGTTGCCGTAGATGTAGAATCATATGCCGCCGAAGAATCGGAATCTTCAGAAACAGCCATTGCAGAAAGATCCCAAGACCTTGGTCTTCCTGTTTTTTGTTGAAGCCTAAAATTAGAGATAATCAATTTTTTCACTCTTGTGGTGTAACTGAATTCTGTGCTAATTATTTTACTGACTATATTAAAAATTTGAAACAGGATATCTGGTAAATATCATAATAATGTTGAAATATAGTTCATATCTACACATCTGTGATGATCAAAACATGATTATTTTCTGTAGAGATAGAAATGTAAAATAAAACAATATATTTCCATTTTACAGCAACTAAAACAGAAGAAAAACATAAATTAGTATTAAAATTCCACAATTAAGATTTTTTTGACATCACTTATCACTTTCTAATAATTCCACTTTCTAAAGTAAATATTTTATCAACCAAATATCATATCATTTCATATAAATATAAATAATAATTTGATCTCAAACTGTTTTATTGAATCTAGAAATTTCAATTTCTTCAAATATGGACTGAAATATTCAAAATTGTTATGCAATGCTAACGAATGGTTTTCCATAACACATGTAAGCAGAATTTATTTATAAAAATGTCTCAGTAGCACAATTCTACTATGTAACAATCAATAAATTTATTTGTAAGATGGCAATCAAAATAACTGTTAAAACAGTTACAATATAAAAAATACTTTTAGATGTAAGCCAGTAACAGGCTGTTATAGGTTTGCTTAATTATTTATTACTTATACATTCCCATGATCTTACTAAATAATTATTATTTGTTCTGAAAACAAACCCACTTTGATCGTCATTTAATGCATTGTTTAGTTCTGTTCTGAAAATTTTGTCTTTCAATGTACCTGGAAATGAAATTCTTTTTATCCCTCAAATTATGAGAAGAATTTGTTTAGCAAAAACAACTTTCCTTTCAGCTGACTTTATCTTGAATAAATTAAAAAGATTGTGGCCNAAAAAACCGTTAATTATTATTAAAAGAATTCAGTATAATCCACATAGAAAAGTATAAATTTATTAAATTTGTCCTTTAATAAATTTTCCAAACTTTATAAAATATTAATAAACTGGGAAAAAGTTTCAGAAATCAGGAATTGTTTTGTTATGTGATCGATATTATTAAAATGAAAAATGATAAATAATACCATTTGAATTAATATTAAGTTATTTATCATTTTTGGTTCTTTGTTATCATTTTTTCCCATCAGTTCATTAACATCTTCCCTCAAATTAAAAGTGTAAATTGCAAGAGATAGAAAGTTAAAATATTTCAAAAATTTTTTATCAACATTAGATTATTAAGAGTATTAGATTTTTCTCTCAAACTTATAATACTGCATAATTAATACAGCAGTTTTANTCAATCTTTAACAATTTCTTCCTGCAATTTCTCTTCAACAGCTTTTGAGGCCCATACATTTTGTATCCTTTAATTTAAAATTTCTTGAACGAAACTTTCAAAACCACATTTGACACATTCGGAGTTTAGAAGCATCTTCCCCATACACAGTACGAGTATTTTTTATTGTTTGTATAGCATGACATCTTTATGAAACTTAAAAAGCATGCATAATATGCTTGATGTGCTATTTTACCTGAATGCAAACATTTCAACTTGATTTTATTCAAATGAAATGTGATGTAAAAAAGTTTAAAATAAGCTTCAAGACAAAGAATACAATCTCACATCAGGAATAATGTGTTAAATTTTACAACTTATAATTACATCAGATATTTATGTTAAGTAAAAACAGCTGTTAATAAAAATATGCAAAAACTTTGTTCAAATCCCAATAAAATTACTGTAATACAGTACAGTAGAGCGTCGTTTATCTGAATCAATTGGGGACTGAGGTTGTTCGGATAACTTATTTTTCAGATAACCGATTATGTACGAAAAAATATATTAATTAACCTATCCCGTGTTGAAATTGTTCTCAGTTGTGTGTTGCTTCACATTGAATTTTCATCAATGTTAAACCTAACATATACTTTTTAAAATAATAATCGTGGCTATTGTATCATTAAAAATTATTTCTTTATTTCTTACAAACAAAATAAATATATTGAAAAATAAAAAAAAAAACAAAAAATATATACTTTAGAAGATGATCTAGTATCAAAAACGTTCAATTCAGCACAACACAGTCCAACTGGAATGCTTTTGGTTAACTGACATTTCGGTTGATTGGCTTTCAGATAAACAACGTTCTACTGTATATACAAGGTCTGTTCAAAAAATACACGAACTGATGTCATAAAACAAAATGTATTTTATGTAGAAGTTACAAGTCTGGGTCTCCTTCAAAGTACTCTCCTTCCCAATGCACACACTTATCCCAACAGTGTTTCCACTTGTTGAAACAGTCCTGGTACGCTTCTTTTGTAATGTCATTCAGCAGTACAATTTCAACTGCAATACATTTTGTGACAAGAAATATGAAAGACACCAAAAGATACCAGAATAATTTTTAATTTTTTAAATAAACTATTTTTTAACAGCAGTAAATATTTTGTTTAAGATTGGCACTACACATTAAGAAAGCATTTTTACTATGATAATGATGTACATTATCAATTTTACTTTACTATTTTCATCAATTTATTTAATTCACATAACTCTAATCTAAAAAATTAGAATAATCTATATAAATAAAAATGTAAATGTTCGTTTGTTCAAAATTTTAAATCTCCGACAGTTCTTAACCGATTGCTTTGAAATTTTGACACAA